CATTGTTTGTTTTTTTCCAAGTTTGTTAGTGTGCTAAACTTAAAAGCTAATTTTCTCAAAATTAGATTTTATACCCTACCTCACAAAATGTGCAATATCTCAAACACTACTTGAGATCTAAAAAATAACCCCCCCCCCCCCCACTGTGTTTAGCATTGAATTTTTTATAAGGTGTAACCCTTAACTCAAAATCTGACTTTTTGTACCTTTCTTTAGGCACACACATAATTTGTTACTAGTACTAGTGTGTGTCAGCCAGTTCCCATAATGGTAGTATGTACATGTAATAATATACAGTCGAACTTGCTCTAACGGCCACCTGTACTATAGTAGAATAAGACAATCACCTGTACAAACGACCACTTCCAACTTCCCTCTAGCAATTTTTCTAATGACACTTTCCGAGATGTCCACCTGTCTGAGAGTCAGACAACCCCTTTTCTTCTTGACAATGGATGGACCTTTTGGACAATTTTTACAGTACATGTATTGTGAACCAAACCTTGCTGTTCTGTTTCTCTTTCATGCACTGCAATTCTCTGGTTCTTTTCTGTTTTGAGATCTATCATTAGCAATTAGGCCTCAGTGAACAGACAGACTTGGAGCAACAAATGACAAACTGTTGATGAATGCCGTATTCATCAACACCACCCAATCACATCCTAAGCAATTGATAGGAGAGATCACAGAAGAAGAGGGGGGAGAGGAAAGTAAAAAGAATCACACAACTGAGAGAACGTATGCTCAACACCAATGAAGAGGAGATAAAAACGCACCACATTGCACATTTTTGTAACTTTATTTTTACTTTTGAGGCTGTACTTTGTTTACACACATACGGTACATCATGTTATGACTCAACACACCGAATCTCTTGCAGTGATTGAGTATAATTATTTACAGCTCCATAGACACAATGTACATCATGTAGCAGACAGCTTGCCATGTAGCAGACAGCTTGCTTCAACCCTGCCCGTCATGGCCAACACAAGTGGAGTGAGATGAAGCATCACAGTAAAGAGACAGAGATCTACGACAAAACTTTCTCTCCACACCGGTGAATCGATCCTATGCCCTCTGCATGCAATGGCAACAAGTTTACCTTCTATTACTACATAGATGCTGGCTGAGTCTCTTGTAAATAATCTAATAAATAAAACAAAATCCACTCAGTTTTCGGCACACATCCTGCCAATAAAGCCACTTACTGCTCACTTTGTGCTTTGGTGAAAATATGTACACAGGATGACAAATGGCTTTCGTATTGTCACTCCTTGTGTACTTCTTCATGTAATCTTATCATCATTGCACTGATTGAGTGAAAGGCCAAATAAAATTCCTGTTTCTGTTTCATATTTTACACTTTAATTGGACACCAAAAAGCATTAGGCTAGTTTGTTAAGGTGTCAATGAGGATGTATATTACAAATAAGACTCGAGTAAGAATAAGAGCATCAACTACATAAAACATCCCCTCCTCCCTCCAACCAATTTCTCAAAAGGTCAGGTCCAGAAGCTGCATGGGCTAATGTGGAATGAGTGCGGCAATGTGGAAGCAATCATAAATACTATACAGTAGTCTCCGCCTAAACGCACGCCATACAAAAGCACGCTCCGCTCAAACGCACGCTTTCGTCGTCTGACGGGTTTTTTTACTATATAATTTAGACGTACAAATGCACGGTCACTCCCTCTAAACGCACGCTCCGATCCGTGAAACACGCCGACAAGTTAAGCTTGGCAAGGGGAAATTTTCACGACAACCTGCACAAGACAAGTCTAGAATTTACTAGAAAACCGGATATTTGGTGAGAGTGCCCCTCACGCTGTACAAAGAGAGTGATGGACTGCGTTTACACACCTTACTTTTCACTGACGCATAGGTCTCGATCTAGGGCTGGCCGGTTAAATGTTGGGGGGTGGGGGGATTGGGGGGACTGAAACGTTTTTTGATTGGTCACTGGAAATGTATCTTTGAGAGAAGGTTTCCGACTGGTGTTTGAGTGACTGCGTGTAATGTTTAGTTAAATCTAGGCCTGATGCGCGACACGCGCGAATGCCGTAAAATACTAGACAGGCCTTTATAGGATTTTAAAGATTAGCAAAGTAAGCCTAATCAGCTGTACTCGAAGAACTTATAACGTGCTTGTTCAACGAATCACAAGAGAAAATGTTTCTCGGGGATGATTCTGCATGATTGAATTTACGGTTGGGGGTGGTCGCTTGGAAAGCCACGTGGCTGGTCCGTCGTCTCTATGACTATGACAAACAGTTTTCTCTTAGGTTGTCTGTTCCCGACGTTTACAGTGCATATTCTTTACATTGAGTTTGTCTCCC